TGAAGGAATATTGGACAACCCCCATCTGAAAAGAGGCCTTTTGGTCTTACAGTTTGAGGGAGTGCACATCATTGTAAGGTTATATAATCCCTGTATAGCCCATTATAGTAGTTTCCATTTTCTCTTCCATTATCCCGTTTAACCCCAATATTACCATTATAATATTGCCCCAATAGAGGCCATCAAAACTACAAGCTGCATCTGCAGGACGTCAACATCTCGCACAAGTCTTTGCCGTCTGTGCCGGCGCAGCGTCAAATCTGCACCCATTTGGACAAGGCCACAGGTTGCAACATCAGGGCTCATTTTTTTGGGGCTATGTAATGGGCACTGGGCACACTTGATCTTGGGAAATACCCGTGTGCCTTTGCGCATTTTGGCCAGAAGAAGCCCGTGGGGGGTCCACCTACAATATGCCTTAGGTGGACCCCCCACCCAGTAATAGTGACTATAAGGGATAATAGGGATTATATTAGGGTCCTCTTATATTCCTATTATACCCCTATTACAGGGTGGGGGGTCCTCCTAAAATGTCCCAAAGCAGCCTTCAGGTGCACAACTGGTTTGACCGAAGCCGATGTGCTGCCCGAGACTTGATGGAGAGTGCTGGGGCCAAGAAGCCCCCTGGAGCAAAGCCACCGATGCAGGCGAGGGTGACGCTTCTCAAGAGACTAGTATAGAACCAAAACAATGACCAGTATCATGTTCCTAGATTCCTTGCATAACTATGGTACAGGGTACATCCAAGTCAAATAGACCTCAAATCGAGATTGGTAACTATGAAGCCCCTACATTAGCCAGGGAGCTTTCACGAGGCTAGAGGTTCTTTTGTAAGAATGTCTCCCATGCGACGATCTGTGTGGGATGGCATTTATTAGAGACTGCAGCATCCAGTTTACACGCAACGTTGAGTTTGGGTTCTGGAAACACTGACGCGAAGCGAGAGCATTTCCCAGAGCTAATCACCAGGTGGATCCCTCGCCTGCTACGGCAAATACTCATGGTGAACTTGCTGGCCGTAAACGCCCAAACCCTAAATCTTAAACTAGGGAAAGGGATCCCTACAGTAGCTACTGCAGATGTACTCGTGTCACCAGTCACTGTGCCGCGCAAATGCCAGGAGTACAGGGGATGAATGCCTGCATAATCCACTCCTGCACCTGATCAGCAACAGAACCAGTACCCAGCACAAGTACAAAAGAAGGTCAGGCCGTCAAACTTTTGAAGGTTCTCTGAAGATACCACTCATAGGGATCCCTGATGCCACTTCTATATATGATCTTCACATGGCCCTTGCAGAGCCCTAGAATCGTTCTTAGTAGTTGCTACCCACCATCCCAAGAACCAGTTGAAATGATGGTTATAACCAGGCCAAGGAGTGTAGTTAAACTACCCTGCTCATGCGGCACCCTCTTTGGCTTGAAGGTTGCTAAGAGAGAACCCGAGTTACCAAAAGGTTTCCCAAAATTTGGGGTACCATTTTGGGGGTTCCTATAATAAGGACTATAGTATTCTGGGGTCTATATTGGGGTCTCCTTATCTTGGGAAACTACCATATGTGTATATATATATATACCGCCGTATGTAGTATCGTATAGCTATCGTTGCAAATAACCTAGTGATCCTTAACATGGCTGCATACTGTTGATACTAAACATCCTGCATGACCTTAGTGTACTGGGTCTTGCGGGAATTTGGTGTCCCCTAAACCCTAAACTCTAAACCGTGTTGTCCATCACGGGGTGGAATTGAAGCCTTCGAAGCGTCCAGGCTGGCATCTACCTCCCTGCCGGCAGTCCGCCGCTGCCTGGGTCGGCCACTGGGACCCTAAAACCTGTGGGATATGAGATTATATAAGGGTTTAGGATTTACCAAAAGGTTTTAGGGATATGAGGTTGTATGAGCTACAGTCCAAACCTCTTTCAGGGGTTATGTTATATAGAGGAGTATTATAGCGGTTATTAAGGGGAGTACTAGGAGTTTAGACTACAGCTCATAAAAGGATTATAAGGGTATTATAGGGCTATATAATTAAGGATCCCTCGCGGCATCCCTAGTACCTCCATAGCCTTCCCAGAGCTCTCTTGTACTCCATAATAAGGATTATGAGGGAGGGGTGCTATAGAGCTCCGTACTTGGGGACATGTTGAGTGTAGTCGGAATTGAGTCGGAATAGGACTACAGGTTATTGAGGGCTTCGGGATAGGGGTTCCGGCGATATAGGATTTAAGGGTAATGGCCGGGCGTAAAGTTGGGGTACAGGGGTTTCTTGGGCTTGCAAAGGGTTTTGCAGAACTCCCAGCTAGGAACTACACAGGATTACAGTGAGACAGGCTCAATCCCATGGGAACAAGGCTGGAGGACCTTTCTTTACTCTTCTGTTGGAATGTTGCATACGTTGGCCCGGCATGAGCGCAGCAACTATCTCAGGTCTTACCATGCGCCCCTACCTGCTTCCTGGGTCCGAACTGTGGGCATAGTTGGGGTCCATACCACCAACATTACAGGTACCGGACGGCAAGAGTTTCCGGTGTAGGAGGACTGGGGACACATAGAGACTAGGCAGCAGAAACCGAGCTGTAGCGAGGTAATATCCTATCATCGTGAGTTTACTATGATAGACAACACTCATGCTTCGCAATAAGCACCGTCCTGGCAAAGAGATTCAAGCTTCAGGCGGGTGCGAAGAGCAAGCGTTGGCTGCCATGGAAATGTATACCATGCACATTTTGGGGGGCGCACGGATGTTGTAAGGTGAAATGGTTTGCGGTGTGGCAGCCCCGAACGGACACACCCGCTATGGCCTTCTGAGAAAATTTCGGTAGCCAATCCGAAGACAAGAGAAAAAAGCTGGACCAAGGGAATTGTGTCGCGTTGGCCTGTGGGGTAAACTCTTAATCCCCCAGCCTTCATTAGCCGCGTCTTAAAGCAGGTGCTCATATTCCTCAGACGTTCCAAGACAAGAAGCTTCGAAGGAGACAGAACAGAAGACCAAGGTGAACCCAAAACAAAACAAGTTTCATCAGCTCAGGACAGATGCTTCAATTGCCCTCTGCCTCCTGCAAGTAGCAGCTAAGGTGAAGTGGCAGGGCCCCGAGCCAAAACAGAGACTTGGCCAGACATTTGGGGTGGCTATATAACCCCCAAGAGGCACCCCTGCACAACCCCGAAGACCCCTACTAGCGTCTCGTTTTGAGAAGCCCCCGTCGCACGCCCTGACAATCCTGAGATTACCACAAATGCTGCACGGGAGCCGCCCAAACAGTCTCCCCTAGAGTAAATCGCCCTGCATGATGCAATGTGAGCATGATCCTTGGCTTTTGACATCCGCTGGAGCTGTCTGATCAAACTGCCAGGATCGTGAAGGCAGCGAAGAGCGATGCCAAATCACAGCGTCATCCCAACGAGTACAAAGAAGAGGCGGCCGTTGACGATAGCATCTGCGACTGATGGCATGGTTTCTTGAGGAATAGAAAAGGGATAATCTTGCATGACTGCCATGAGTCAAATCCCATGACAGTCCATCCGCTTAGGGGGGGGCACGCAATGTCTGGGCACCTCCTCTTCTCTAATTCCATGGCCGGTTAAGTAGATTTCAAGGAGCACTTAAACGAACAAGGTATGGCAGATGCCGACACAGCAGACGAATCAGCGTAACCTGGCTTGATACAAGGCAGCGCTTGTGAGCGTTCTCCCTTTTGCAAAGCAGCCCCGAATCCAAGGTTGCTGGATGCACTTAGCGATGCGTGATGGAAGCCTGTACAGACCTGCGGATTTTCCTGCCCCTTTCCAGAAGTGGCAACAGCTCCGCGCGGCAACCCTGCACCAAGCCAGCAAGAGCTTGCGAAACCTCCTGGGTTGGTGCCGTGGATTTGCATGAAGCCATGGAATCATGGAACCCTCCTAGGTATATAGGGATATTACCCCAAGAATGGAGAATCAAATGGAAAAGACAATGGAAAATGAAATGGAAACTAGGATAATGGAGAATCAAATGGAAAAGAAAATGGAAAATGAAATGGAAACTAGGATTATATAGGGGGGCAGGGGTACCATGTCTGGTTAACGTCAGCTTCAATTGTTCAAGTCAACTCTCGTGAGTCCAGCCAGCTTGCGTTCGGAAACCAACCTAGGGTTGCAAGTGCATCCGAATCTCTGCGCGCGAATTCAAGCCTGACCTGTCTCACCCTTATTTCGTGTATCCGCGCCTGAGGGTCCTGAGGTCTCCTTCAGCAGCTACTTGGTGCGCAGCTACCATGTAGGTAATAATGGGATATTGCACAGTTACATTGGGATGATGGAAAAGAAAATGGAAACTACTATAGTATATTGGGATAATGGAAAAGAAAATGGAAACTACTATAGTGTGGGGTATGCATGGTGCCTCAGGTCCTTTACACCCAGCGGGCGGGAAATCAGCTCTGAGACAGTTTGACCACCCTGGGATGTTGAAGGAACAATACTGCTGTGGCAGGCATCTTGCATAGCAAGCGGCCTGCTTCATGTGTTCAGTAGCTCTAGCGGTGCTTCAGCAAAGCTGCGTGCTGCATCAGCTGCAGCAGACATGTTCGGAAGTTCTGTCCTGGAAATACAAGCAGTCTAAACATGGACCCCATGTAGGCCAGCAGCGAAGCCAGCATTGCGGGACAGGAACCAGGTCCGATGCAGCTGACTAGATTTTTCAAATTGAACTTTTAGTGCGGTTCCGGGGTTTTAGCTGCGGCGCTGCCGTGGCGCATTTGCTGGGACTGTGCAACTTGCAGTACTCCTTCAGAGTATGAGCATGTGCTGGGCCCACATACTAGTGTGGGCGAAATAAATGTGCATGTTGTTTGGCTCGCAAGGTTTGAAGCTGGTTGAAGACCAGCAGCTACAAGAGCTTGCTAGCAAATAGGGGACCAATCCTATAGAGTATGCCACACGCGAAGATTGCATCGGCAGAAAGCTATGCTTGTTGGGGTCCCTTCACCGGCTAGCAAATCCTAGCAGATCTGTATTTTGCGTGGATGCGACAAAGCGCGAAGAGCAGTCGCCTGGGGTAGCGGCGACCGTGCTTTTGTGCAGGGACATGCAGGGACAGGGTTTCTTTTCACGTAAGTCCCTCCCTGCTGTGATACTAAAACCCCCACCCCGTAACATTGGCTTCCATGGTTCCATGGTGGTATATATCAAGAATATATCAAGAACAATTAATTTTTGGGTGGAAATGCGGAGTTTACTGTTTGAATCTGTTAGAGGAAGGTGATTCGTTGCTAAGGATTGAGCATCGACGAAAGGAGCTACTCACAAGGGAGTCAAACCTGAACAGAGTGCTTTAGCCGTAGCCTCGTTGCGACTGTAAGCGTGGCGCCCCCTCCCTGTCTCCTTTGTCTGGCCACCCGCGAGGCAATTATTCTTCAACATAGAAGAGACAGCCCCAGAACAATGTAGTAGGCATCCCCAAATGGGGATCCATGCTATACAATAACAGTACAGAACGTGACTATATGGCCGCATTGCAGGGGAGTATTACAGGGGTTACTAAGGAGGATTCTAGGAGTTTAGACCATGACTCATACAGTTCCGAGATATGCGTCCTTTTGCTGCCCGTCAAGGTCTCAGTCTACCGTCCGCCGTCGGGAGCTCAATAAAAAGTGAGATACATCACGCTACAGGGTTCAGGTGCCAGGTGCCCAAATTCGGGGGTTCACGGGATTTAGGGAGTCTTGATTCAAAATTGGTGTAGGGACTGTGTTCTGAGACTACTGTATATCTTGCAGATTGTTAGGTCAATCCCCCTCTAGAATAGCTCCTAACAAAGGAATTAGTAGGGCCTTGATATACCTACACTAGTCCCTTGTGGTACCCAATAAGGACTACTTTGTGGGGCCCTGGGGTTACTATATCACTACACTATGAGTAGAAACTACTGTGCTATTTGGGGTTTAGGTGCTACTGAGTGGGACTTGGGGTTACCAATGCGTTGGGGACCTGCTTATACATGTGGTTATAATTGATTACTGTCTTTGTCCAGAGGACATGATATAAGCTCTAGTTTAAAACTCTAGTATCCCCCCTTATGAAGCCTTGCAACAGGAACCCTAAATAGTCCCCGGTATAACCCCCTTTAAGGAGTTTAGACTACCGCTCATATATTACCTAACTTCAAGCTCCCTCAAAGTAGACCAGAATCGCGCGGACAGTTGTCACATGAGCCCATAGTCTAAACCCCTAGCATCCCCATTAATAGCCCCTATGATACTCCCCAATATCTTCCCAACCCTAAGCCCGAAACCCTGTATATAACTCTGCATTAAGGAGTTTAGACTATAGCTCACATTGGGCCTAAGCAGCTTAGGAGCTTCTTGCAACAGAGGGATCCTCCAACTATCACGCGAAGCATGTGATTGTACTTTGATACGAAGGCCCCTAAAACGGGCCCTGCAGTTCTGCGAAGTCTCCAAATCCGTTCAAGGCGGCGGGCACCTCATCATCCACGGCGTCCCAGGACATCATTTGTAGTCCTTTGGTGTGTTACGAGCACGGCACACATCCTCTGATTTGCGGTGGCTGGATTTTGCAGCCACTGCTTTTTGTGTAGTTGCATGTGAGGTTAGAAGTAGGGGCACTATAGCTGTTACTTCAACAACCCCGTTTATCTTACAGGTAGATGAGCGGATGCGTGCATTTCGATTACATGGTGTCCTATGCACCCCGGTAGTGGTACCGCAATTTCTTCCGCCACTCCTCCTGAAGCACCAGCAAGTAAGTTCCTTGGACAAGCTTGTGGGGGTGGGTTGTCAGTGAATGCTTCAGGTACTTGGGATGCAGGATTCCTACATCCTAGTTGGTCCTAGTATAGGAGGACATCTTGTGAGCTCCCTCAACAAGCATTCTCCTCTTATTCCTGTTCCCATAAGAGCGATGTTAGTGAAAGCTGGGGGAGTGCCATGGGGGAAAACATGCTTTCTGGATCCTGAGGCCTGATTACCACAGGATGGCTTTGGGAGTTTGCACGGGAGGCTGATAGAGGCAGGCGAACAATACCCAACTGACCTCGGGAAATATTGTCACACCTACTGTCCCAGAAGGATGATGCCTCTAAATGGAAAGTTGTGCCTATGATATATCGGGAATAGCTGATTCCCATATAGCAGACACTTGCTTGCAGGTTAGGGTGGGCTTACAGGCACGTCTTCGGCTAGCAAAAAGCCGCTTCAACGCGTGCCTTCTGCCGCAAAAGGACAAAGCCTACGAGCGGCTCTCCCTCGAGCACCAGCACCTGCCCTCTCCTCAGTCACTGAGTATAGTCCGCCTTAACTAGATGGAAGATGGGGTATATGAGGATCTTATTATGATTGTGGAGATTCCATATTCTATCTACCTGAGAGGGACTAGGGTTCAGGGTTTGAGCCCTACAGGATTATGATTACTTCCTTGCTGCGAGCAGCGCTCGCTCTATAAGAACCCAGACATGCGATGGGATGCCTTTCAGGTCCGGGGGCGGGGTGTTTGCTGTTAGAGGAAGGCGGATTACTTCTTTGGGACAAGTTGATCATCAAAGGATGATGCAAACATTTCTGATGGGCTTTAGCCTGTTGTCATGGAGAATATATAGGGGCTTCACTGCTTCGGCATGTGGAGTGTGCCACCTGCGCACTTGTTATGTCATGGGTAGTGTTTTTCGTCGTTCTTCATGTTTCAAACATAACTTGCTAGGTCACCATTCACTACTGTTGCCAAGAAAAGTCCGCATCATTCGCCTGCAAAGAACGACTCCGAGTTCCTCTGTTAATATGAGTCATAGTGTAAACTTCAACTACTCCCCTTAATAGCCCCTCTAATACTCCCCAGTATAATCCCCTTTATATAAGCCACCTGAAAAATCGGGGTCCTTCGTCGGGGCTCCCAAAAAAGGGATTATAGTGTATTGGGGTGCACAAGAGGACCACTCATTTCGGCAAAGTCCCGTAGGGGAGTTTTGGGCAAGAATGATGCCTGTAGAAACCCGCATAAGAGCTTCAAAGCTGTTCTTAACTCCCCATGCATCCGCAGGGTCAATAAGGCATCGTACAGCACATCTCCTTGCAGCGAAGGCTTTGGCTCTTGGAGCGCGCGGCTGTGGGAAGCGCTAGCTCGCTAGCAGCTCCGCCCAACATGACAGAGTCAGGCGGCATCCCACCACCCCATCACTGTTATCTCTTTTGATTATCGCTACTTTTATCATGATAACTATTGTTCTCATGTTCATATCACTGTTATTTTCATCATGCCTAGAACCGTTACTATTACTCTTACGGTGTCTAACTACTACTGGCTGCATCCTACCACACCGTCACCATTGTCTATCTTTATCATTGTCAGAGATGTTCCGTCTAGTACTGTGACATATTTTCACTGGCTTTATTACGGTGATTTTTACGGTTACTATTATTCGCCATCATTACTATTGCTATTATTCGTTTCTGTATTGTTGTGAGTACCATGAAGACTCGTAGTGTTTCTATTGCTGTTGGTATTATCGCTACGAGTATGTAAGTGGAATTTGGGAATACTGCCCCCCACCTAGAACAATTCCCACAAAATTAAAAAACAACGTTGCAAAAATAGCGTTCCTATCGTTCCCGCAGTATACGGCCAATGTAGGATTTATACAGTAGTTGGCATTGTCCAAGTCCTTTCTGCTTGTTGGGGATTTCCCGACTTCGGTTTAAACAGGGTATATCTGTTTAGGCCCCCGGGATCACCATATGAGCCTGCGCCAAAAGACCGGCTTCAGCTTGACAGCAGAGCCTATGTCATAACACTACTATTTACTTTAGACGGGCTTAGAACTGAGTGTTCAGGATGTGCATCCTGGCTCTCGAGGCTCTCTTTGCTTCACAGAGGAAGGAGGAAAGAGTCTCACGTTCTAATTGTCAGTCCCGCTTCATAGTAAACAAAACTCTAGCACGCCAAAGAAGAAATCACACGCTGTTGGGCATTTCCTGTTTTGGGTCCTAGGCTAGTGATGTTTTGCACTAGAAACCCGAAACCCCTACACCTGCTTAAGCAACCTGACTGCCTTAGATATGCTCCTCCCCTTGTGTTTCTTGCTGGTCGCTGGTAGACAACGGAAGAAATGAATCCTTCCTGCGGCCCCTACATAGTCCCAAAGAAGATACTGTACAACTTCCACTTTCTCTTTCATTCCTTAAATCCCTGCATCAAGCCAGCAAGTGTCGGTGGATGATTTTGCACGGAGGCGCTGCTGCCTTCCTTCGAAGGACCATTGCCCTAGGGTTCTGGATTTGAAGATATGATTCAGGGTGCAGGGGGTCAAGTGTAAAGGATTCGTTTTTCAGGCTTGAGATTGGCATTGGAGCAGTCGCATCGAGAGCTTGTGGCGGTGGATTGGGATCATGTGCGGGTGAACGTGGCGAGTTCAGAGGGGCACTGCCTGCATCCTGCAGTAGTGGTGCTGAAGGCTTCATGTGTTTAGACGGACCTGATTAAGATGTCATGGCGGGCTTATGTAAACTCTGTGGCTTGTGGGGCTTTGTGGAGCTTGTGTCAGTGCGGTTGGGGTCATTTCGTGTGAATTGCGGCGTTCATGGTGATGAATGCTTGCTCATGAATTCCCAGCAGAGATCTGCAGCAGCATAGGTTTAGGGTGTACGGGTAATGGAAAAGGAAAAGGAAACTACTATAGTATAGGGTTTAGGGTTTAAGGTTCCTACCACCTTTTCGTCGATCTGCCCGGTTGCCTCCTATGGCTATTAGTACTGTTTGTTAGGTAGAGCTCCTACCCTGTAATCGTGCTATAGTAGGAATATAAGGTGACTCTAATAAATCCTTATTGCCGCTTATAGTCACTATTACTGGGGGAGTGTCCATCTAAACTGTTCACATCACTCGCGCTGCTATGGCAAGGAGGGCCCCTATTTGCACGTTATCACAAAGAAATTCAGCACATTTCCATGGCTCCTCTTCTGTAACCTTGAGCTAATAGCAGTCCTGAAGGCACCCTTAAGTTGCAACAAACAGCCCCTGTGCTTCCCGGTGCAATGCCGGTGCAATCCTTACACAATGATTCATTTGGATGTTTCCTATGCTGCGGATCCCTCTCGGGATTGCCTATTAACAAGACTTCCTGACATTGGGGTCTATATTGAGGTCCCCTACATCTGGAAACACTCATATCCAGCCCCAATGACACCTGCATAATCTTTTTCGCATCCTGCAATGTACCTGGAGGCTTGGGGATCTGGCAATGGCTGAGCGTTCTAGCCTACCTTCCGCTGCGGCGCCCCCGGCGCCTGCGAAGCGTAGCTCCATCTCTAAGGCTTGAGGGAGGGCGGGATGTAGCATTTGGGGTCAAGAGTTCAGAATTTTCGGGTCCAGGATCTATGAGGGTTGAGGGCTTGGGATTTAACATTGAAGTCAAGCGTCCCATCTGCAGGTATTTCAGGGGTTACATCCGGCTCATAAAGAATTCGCAATTCCTGCCACTTACTTAGCACACGGAGGGTGCCTACTCTAGTCATGCGCAGGCCTACAGGATCAGAATTGATGTTCGCCGTACTGCATAGGCAATACACCAAACAAAGTTCAATCCTTGTCTCAAAGGCCACCCTGAAAGGACACCAAATCGTCTTCATACACCCAGGGCCTGAAGGTTAGGGTTTAGGGTTTAAGCATGTGTAGTTTCCCAGATTCGCAGAGCCCTTTCCATTCGAGCGGTCGTCTTAAAAGGAAACTGTCGACGAATACCTCTGTTGAGTACCAAAGTCCTCGGATGATGCTGCGCGAGTACAAACAGCAAGGTGGCGGCGCATGTAATATGAAGTTTCAATACGGATCGGGGTTTCGAAAGGAAGCCCGTAAAATCTAATTCTAGAACAACATCCTGGTTCTAACTGAGGGTTAGTAGGGAATGGGGGAATATAGTCCTCACATAACCCCCATATATTGTTTTCCCTTTTCCCTACTCACCCCTAGCAATGTGTTGATTTAAGAGCCTGCGGAGCCGACTACGAAAGCCAGATTCCACATGCTAAAGGCTGAACCCCCCTCAGACTTCCCTGTCTTTAAGAGACGAAGCCCAAACGAGTGCCAAACGATATCCGAGGATGAGGCTGGGTTACAATGGCCGCATGTTGGATTCCGTTGAATTCGCTTACCTCCGCGGTTGCGAAACACGGTAAGTGGCGTATCAGCTGGCACTACTTAAGTAAACTTCCAACGAGGAATTCCCTCAGTGCCTAACAGCGAGGATCAGCCACCCACGACCCCGGAAAAACGCCACAGCATCCTGGACGACCTCAGCGATTTGGGCAACCCCAGCGAGGCGGTGCTCCATCGTCTATAAGGTTTAGGGTTTTACATGTGATTTCTGTGTGCCGCAGATGTTAGAGGTTTAGTAAGGCTTCTCAACAGCGACGTGAGAGAGGTTGAAGAGAGCTGCTTAAATTGTGGATCTTTCTCTTGGGATAGTGTTTGGCAACCATTGCATGCCTCTTATACTTGAAAGGGTGTGCTGGGGAGTTCTATGAAAATGCGGATGTTGTAAATGCCGTGAAAAAAGGTCTTACCGGGCTTCAACTGCAAACCTACATTGAAATGAGGACAAATACATTGCTGGAATCTTCTGCCTTGACATGTGCTCTATTGGCTTGCATCGCGCGTTGGTGGAAGGGTCTGATGGGAGTGCCATGTTTTTTTCAGCATCCGATGTGTTGGGAAGGGTTGGCAGTAAACTGAACAAGTCTGATTTCGGCTCACGGTTCTATGTTCGTATCCCTCGGCCTTTGGGGAATCCAACAGGCGATATGCATCTCTCCCCTGTTTTCCTCCCACACCATCCTTCCCCTAATGTGATGGCGCGTGCCTCGTTGCGATCCACGCATGTGGTTAGCTGTCATCGTTTGAGCTCTCGCGCGTCTTGACAGTGCCGGCAGCCATGGGATGGCGCACGCTCTCTGCCCCAGCCACGGGGAGAAAGAAAACTGCCACCACCACACAGCGGCGGAGCTTAAAGATGTGTAAAACCTGATAGAAGGCTTGATGCTGAACTGCTACAAGCTTCAGACTGCAATTCCAGATCAGTGCTGCCCACACTTGCAACGCCCGTTGCATTATTCTTGACGCTGGCAACTGTCAGCTTAAAAGATGGGATGGAGAAAACTACAAACAACACAACAGGGGAGGGAGGAGGACCTGAACAGTCTCAGCAGAATACTGGTCTTGATTCTGGGTGACAGTTAGTTGCAAAAACAGCCGGCAGTTGCAGAGAAAACCACTTACATGGCAGGGCAAAGGGCGAAAGATCCTACTGACCTCACCGCAAAAAAGTTGCCAATGCGACAGTTGGCAATGTGTAGCATCTGCCACTTCATGAGCGAAGACCGCCATGTCACGCACCATCACCTAAGCCCTAAACCCTAAACCCAGTAAGTGTTGGCACTTCTGAAAAATCGGTATCAGCCACGAAGACAGCCACGAGAATAACACCTCCGGGGTCTCAAGAATAAAACGGGATGGTTTAGGGTTTAGGGGCTTAGGGTTGAGGGTTTAGGGGGTTCAGGGCGCCGTAGTGGCATGTTGGTAAAGTTAAAGGGCCATCGTGAGGACGCCCGTTAGAACCACACTCATGCAAAACCACTAGGAGGTTGGAGGAGGGCCAGAAGGACTGGGAGTATATCCCTAAAACTGGAGATATTATAGCAATACCAATAATAGAGAATCAAACGGACAGGAGCCTGAAAAATGGAATGGACCTGGGATGAAATTATATGATAGTTTAACGCGGCCAGGCGTTCCAATAATTTCTGGTGTCCAGAAGACAAAAATGATTGCATATTGGGGTCCAAATTGGGACGGAAATCACCATACAGGGGTTGTAAAGGAGATCTGCGAGGTCACCCCCACAATATCGGGATTATGTTGTGCATGCCAAGCGTATGCAGGCTGGCGATGTGGCCTCAGATGCGGGCGTAGAGGATGGCAATGAAGCCGCCAGTTGAGCAATTCTGCTTGCCGGCCATCTGAATATTCTTAAAATATCGGCCTTTGAAGGACCTTGGCGATACATGGGGACTGGGGGACTACAAGGGCAACATGGGTCCCCACTAGCTGAGGGCTCTGCAAAGACTGTTACAAACTTCATCTTGACCTAGGAAATCGCAAGAGCGTACAAGAAGAAGTTGTGTCATGGATTCAGCACTGTCATAAACCATCTCTGCATAAGCCTCATCTTACTCAGAGCATGAATATCCTGACAAAGTGGTTCAAGTGATGCGGTAAGAATTCTGACAGGGTCCGAAAGTCAGCGTAAAAAGTAAAGTCTGCGCAAAAGGGTGGAGCTACAAAATTGTGATCCTGCGCAAGCACCGACTATAACTCAGGTAGTTTCCAGCCAGTACTAGCAAGGCTATGAGGTCAAGGAGGTGCCGCGATGCGTCGACACCTGCGGCAGGCGGGACGTGCGGTCCCCCGGAGTTTCACCGCTGTGCTTACGTGTCTCTAGGCAGAGAAGCAGTGATACTTCACAAGATTGTCAAAACATCTTCTTACTGGCCGCTGCTTTCTACCCGTCCGGCGTCTGGGCATTTGCCTAGTCAATCTGTTTCTTAAGGAAGCTAATATCCAAGATGGTGACTGCCAAGGCAGATGTCTAGAGATCAATTCAACCTGCAGTGCAGAGGCGTCATGAGCCTGCGCACTTGTATAATTGGCATGCACTGGACTCATGGTGGTGGAGGACTTGCGGGGAAGGTCGTGGGGCTTTAGTAAGTAGGCTAATAATCTCTATGAGCCATATAGTAACCCCAATGACGTCATCATTAACCTACTTACTAAGTCCCCATGACCCGCCAAGTACGGATAGATTAGGGACTTCTGGCGCCCGTCCTCCATCCACGTGATGACTGGGGTGGCACATGGGGTAGTGCCAAACCTGATCGCTAGGTCAGCTGAGGCTTGTTTCTCTAATGCCCTGATGCGACGCGCGGCGCCATCAAGTGAATGTAGACTGACGGAACATGAGGCCCCTGACTGCGGCGAAATCTCAAAAAATCGTTCAAAAGCACAGGCTTGCATGCAAGTAGACGTTTGCAGGGCAGGATCCACTCTCAAAGTGCCCTCGACCGCGGATCGCAGCTGTCAAGCTGTAGGCGTCATGCTGCTAGGTTCAGGCACCATGATCATGTTCATGTCTTCTAGCACCATGATTGTGATTGGTGGTATGGGCACCAGCCCTGGAACCATCGTCATCTTCTAGCATCTCCGAGGGGAACAGGGACCCAACCCTGCAGACCCACAGCCAGCCCACAGCACGCGCATGTTTAGGGTTCAGGGTAGTGTTCAAAAGACACAGCAAATCCCAGAACCCTTCCCATAATCCATGCAGAAAAACCACAACTACCAGGAAAGTTTTCCGAAACCCTTGTGGGCCCATGCACTCTCACTTACAGGACCCATCAACCATATGACCCACGGAAGCTCTTGGATTTTCCCTGGCCCTGGGGCTTCGAGCTTCAAACCTCAAAACCAGATCCCTAAACCTAAGTATGAAGAAGACGTAATATTCACTCCTAGATCAAGAGCCTAGACGACTAAGACCTTGCCCCAATTCATGCGCCTCCCTGACGCGGGCCTTCAGGTTCATCATCTGGGCGGGCTTGATTCGAAATATGGGTTCATATTAGGAGGTTATATTAGTGTTATATTGGGGTTATATGGGGATAATGGAAAAGAAAATGGAAACTACTATCATGAGTTATATGGGTGGTTATCAAAATTATGGTCCCTTTTTGGTACCCTGTATATTAGGTGCCGTATTATTAATAGGGATCCAAAAAGGAACCATAAGTTTGACAACCACCCATATGTATAAGGACTACCATCCAAGACCGTCCCAGTAAGCTGACTTGTGGTTGTTGGGCCTTTAATGGTGGGCACTTAGGCCTAGAAGAGGGTACGAGGATCTACGAGGTGATTTACAAATTCTACTATTTAGGAGAAGCCCTGGCCTCTACAGAGATAAGGGTTCCGAGAATAAGGGCTACCTTTTCTGGGGTCCCTATAGTAAGGACTATAGTATATTTGGGGTCCTATGTTGGGGTCCCCCTATTTTAGGGAAAATATCGTGGCAAGGCTAATGCTTTGAAATCTTATATGTGGCAACCAAGTAACCAGTCCGGAAGTTTGGCCGCCAGAAACGGACCTCGATTCTTTCGAAGGACATTCTTAAGTCCGACACTGGTATTATTGACGACGAAAGATGCTGGAAGGGACGGTTCCAAAAGTCCTTCGAACAAGTAGAACAACAACAGGGACCCTACGGGATTGCTTGCAGTGTATTCTAGGATGCAACATAAAGGACCAAGACAGGATATGGCTCCATTCGAGATATGGTCAGTGCCGCGCTATTCTGAAACAACTGGGATCGAACAAGGGCTTCTACTTTCGGATTTTCATCAGCTTGCATAAGGTGGCTCATATGTCGAAAACTGTTTGGAAGCCGGAGGATTGTTGTTTCACCTCATACTGTGGATGGATGAAATCTTACACCGCCTTATATACCTTCTAATATTCACTTCGTATTAATAACCCCCCCCCCCTTAACCTCCTCGATTGATCTATCTCCGTTCTGGGGGAGCCCCGGAAGAATAATGCCCAAAAAGTATGTTTGAGCGCCTATTTCGAGTTGAATAAAATCTGAAATTAAAATCGTTGCCCCGGCAAAAATCATACATATGTGTGGTTTTTATAAATGCGGGGGTTGTTCTAATTGTGTTCTGGCGGCGGTTTTTAAAAATGTGGGGGTGGTTCTTAATATGAAGTCAACATTACCCCCCCAATACTTGCAATTTTTGGGGATTCCTGAGTGGTGCAAGATTTCCTCCATCCACTGTAGGTCATTTGAGACTCACAGTGGTTGTGTATTGGAACTGGCCCACTGTCAATACTCAGAACTGGAGGATGCACCCTGGCACAACCCTCGTGCCTGTAACAGCAATGCTTAACCCTAAACCCTAAATCCTAAACCCTAAACCTTAATATGAGCCACAATCTAAAACTCCTGAAAAGGAGGTTTTGTAAGGGGCTCATATAAGGGAGCACCACAGGGGCTGTAAAAGTTGGATACTAGGAGTTTTCACTACAGCTCATATGGGGGAAGAGGGCTGCTAGCCGGAGAAGAACAACGGATCTTTTGTTATGGATGGCAACACCAACATGCAGCTGCCATTGTTCATCGGTGCGTTCTTAAGTCTTAAGCTTTTTTAGCAAGAGGTGCATCGTCAAGTACTGGATGCACATAAACTTGGGTATACTCATCTTGTGAGCAGTAACAATGTCAGCTCCAGGATCTTCATCGGGCCCCCATTTAATCTGTATACATTCCTATATATCCCCAGATATCCCTCTATATCCTATATGGTAGTTCCCCTAAATCAGGGGACCCCAATGTAGACCCCAATATACTATAGTCCTTATTATTGGGACACCCATAAAGGTACCCCCTAATTTTGGGAAAGCCCATACTGTATATCCTTATGTAATCAGCTCCAGGATCTTCATGTCCTTCCGGCAGCATGGCATCCAAGGGCAGAGCGAGGCCCCCACTTCAGACTGAGGGGGCATAGATTATATGGGGATTATATAGGGGTTATATAGGGACAATGGAAAAGATGTACCGCATAGCGTATAGGGACTATGTAGGGGTTATAGAGGTAATAATCATGTAAGGGGAAGGAGGGACAGCTTCAGAATTGGCATAGTCCCAGGGTCTTAAGAAGTTTTTGAAGATCTCTAGGTTTGCTTCATTCTCCTGACTTGCGGGTCCTTTACAGATGGCTTCCTGCCCTGACCTAGCCACTTTGCTGCAGGCATGGGCCAAGCTCTATGCCAAGCGGGACCGAGAGGTGCCTCAGAATCCCATATTGCAGTTTCCAACAGTCCGGGTCCCTTTTGGGTACGTGAGGGGGACATCTTGCTTGAAAACGCCCATGTCCATGACAGGCGATGAAGGTGGCGAATCCCAAGGAAACGCTGCGCAAGATGTACGATAAGCTGGTGCGCCTCCCTGTTCGGTGAGTGGAGGACATCTGGCGCCACTTAATACAGCACGTGGTAGGGTATAAGGCTGGGGAGGAATACACTCAATTTGTGGCCACAAGTCTGTAAGCTGTGCCAGGTAACCCCTCAGCTGGTGAAGCGTGGTGCCCACGTGCCGCTGCCCTTCGAGGTTAGGTGAAGCTGCTCATTGGTGATGCTCACGCCTGCTCAGCTAGGAATGAAGGAATGGATCCTTATGGTCGTCCCTATATAACCCATTATAGTAGTTTCCATTTTCTTTTCCATTCTTCATTACCAGCTAAACAAATTAAGATAATGGTGGGCTCCATTGTCTTGTCCTTGTCTCGACATAACCAATTATAGTAGTTTCCATTTTCTTGTCAATTCCTTCATTCCCAGCTACACAAAGTTTAGTGGGTGCCATTGTCTTGTCCATTCCTTCCTTTCCTGCTAACCAGGTCAGTAGAACCCTCAACCAACCCGGTTGAGGGTTCAGGGTCACTCTCTGCCTGCCTTCGAAACTCTTTTCTCTTAATGAGTCTACTTTTTTGAACCAACAACCCCCATCATGCGGCCCCGCAACCCTACTATGGATGGAGGAGAACTTGCACCTGCTCATGTGCCTTTATCCTACCCCAAGAACTCGCAGTATCATGGACTTCCTAATTGGAGCAGATTTCCCCATCCACCTTACCAAGTCAAGAGAGCCTCCGAGTGCAGGATGAGGTCGAGCCCAAGGAAGCTGAGAATGGAAAGGTCAAGAAGCAGCAAACGAAGGAGCCGCAGAGATTTGGGGTTTAGGATATAGGGCTTAGGAAGGAAGGTTTGTAAATAATATATTGGGGTGTATGAGGGACCCTTTTTAGGGCTTTTATATAGGGGTATATTGTATACGGATACTATGGGGTCTACGGTTTAGGGATATTATCCCCAATAATGGAGA